AAATGATGTTGACACAAACCAATTAATAAGGATTTTGGATTATTCCTCTTAACAAGGTTGACCTTTTAAGATGGAACCCAAATTCTTAACATGGTATTAGAGCCCATTATGCTCAAACGAACGATTTGATCTCGTTAAGACTCTAAAATGAGCACGTGGATTTCAAGATTGGTCTGCTCAAATGAGCCACCATCTTGCGGGGGCGTGTTAAGGGATATATATATCTCATATCGATAAATGATGTTGACACGGACTAATTAATAAAGATTTTCGACTACTCCTCTTAATAAGGTTGACCTTTTAAGATGGACCCCCAAATCTTAATATGGTATCAGAGCTCATTATGCTCTAACGAGCGATTCCATCCCGGTAAGACTCCAAAAAAAATGAGCACGTGGATTTCAAGATTGGTTCTGCTCAAACAAGCCAACATCTTGTGGGGGCATGTTAAGGGATAGAATCCCACATCGAATAAAGATGTAAATATAAACCAACTTATAAAGAATTGAGTTACTCCTCTTAATAAGGTTGACCTTTTAAGATGGAATTCAAATTCTTAACAAACTATGTGTAGTCAGCCCCACATAGTGCCTCAGTGATGAATTCGTCATTTTCGTGGCTTTCCCTTTTTCAAGTTGCACTTTAAGCTTTCGAGTGCCGATCTTTGCTTGGGCTGGTTTCAAATCTCGACTTTTCATTGATTTAACTTTTAGAATAGTATAAATTTATTAAAAGGTACTGAGCAAATGGCCAAACCAATCTTCATAAATAAGGTTGGGAGGCACCTTCAATAAGCAGTTATTGATGGTAACCAATTCGGTAGCTCAAAAGTCAATTAAAGGTCAGCAATACATTGCAAATAATTTTCACATTAGCTAAATGCATGTATGGCAAAATTTTAATTATAATTTAAACGAATTAAACATAATTTTTATTAACACAATTTTTAAAATCCACCGTCCACTTATAATGTTGGACCCAAGGCCACATAGTTTATACACTTACAATCTGGTAAAGTTCATCTGATGTTCCTCAGCCCGACACGACCAGCATTTTCTTCAAAAAAGGGTAGGCTGGATAAGGTCAATTCCGAATCTGCATGTGAAGGAATAATCAAAGGATAATAGATTGCATGTACGAGAAGGAACTGGAAGCAGAGAATCGACATACCATCGAACATCGGTCTGCCACAAAATCTAGCTAGTATTAGATTATCAAACTGCCGAATTTAAAGCATATCCATTCTATTCTCCGTCATCAACAGCTTTCTCATACACCCTACCTACCCCACCCCACCATCCTAACCCATCTCTCGATTTGTGCGATCATCAGTCTTGTCTCAATCTACTTTAATCGTGGAATACATGTTTACTGAAATAAATTGATGATATCAGGAGTGGAACGGAGAGAAGGGGGTGCGGAACGCACCAACCGGAACACACAGGATATCCCCAAACTAAACCTGACCTTTTAAAAATCAAGAATCCATCTCAGGGCATGCTCCTGTATTAAAACCCGAGGAGCTCGAATTTGCAGATGAGAACATGACTATTTGCAAACACGCAAGGGAAACAAAAGATTCAGACAAGGAGAATCGTAAACAAAATGGAAAAATGAACCAGGAAAAAAAAAAAGAAAACATAGTATATTACAAAACTTCAGATGATGCAAAAACACTATTTGCATGCTCCAGACGGCGAAAAAGAAATTCAAATTCCTTGCTCAAACTGAAAGTTTAATACATCAAACATATTTTTGCCCTGCTTATAAGCTGCTTTACTCAACAAGCAAGACCAAATATTACACACAACTAAAACAGAATATAAAAAGGATAATAGAAAAAATATTCACAATTATCATTAGGATTTTACACGGGTCGGAAAAAGTGCTTATCCATGAGTTAATCCGTTATAACATATAATTCAATCGCTTATCGGCCCAAAGATAGCGCCGCCGTGGTGTCAAGCCGCCATGCAAACCCTCCACATTCCATTCTCCAAACGTCACACGGCAGTGTAAGAGAAATCTTGTCTTTACCGCACGTGGCCACCCTGACCCGGCACGTGAACGAAGGAACCCCGGCCGGAACCACCACTCCCGCCTTGATCACAAGACACGCCACCACCTCCTCCTCCGTGCCGGACACCATCTGCCGATATGTCCCATTGGTCCACATCACCCGATTCAGGCTGTCCGATATGAAACCCGGACACGTGTCACGCTGTAGGCTCATCACCCTCTCCTTGTCGGTTCGGCCAAGACGATAACAGTCCATCAAACTGTTGGTTACGCATTCAACTGTAACCCACGAGCCCACCACTGTGGCCAGATTTTCTCCCCCTTCACTCCCAAAGCTCAACAATAGAGGAGCACTGGGTGCATCTCTTTTCATACTTCCCTTCACGTCAGATGTCTGTGGAAACAACGGCAGCGTTACCACCGTTTCTCCGCCGGAAACAGAACCGCCGGAAGCGGAGTTTTCCGGCGAAGCCTTTCTTTTTCTGTTACAGACCTTTTTGTTCTTATTTTTGGCACTGGCTGCGTCTTTAGCATATTTTCTCTTCCCACGGCCAGTTTTGACGGATGGGTCGGCGTTTTCCGGCGTGGAGTTGCTTCCGCCGGAAACTGACCCATTTGTTGAAGCTGGCTTTGGAGCTATTGGCCGGAATCGCATCATTATCCGGCCAAATTTAGACATATCGTATACGCCGCCGCCAGTGTACCTCGCTATACAGCACCCCCCTCTTCCATCCATATTACTGAGGCTTCTCTTCAAATATTATGATTTAAACAAAATATAATTAGCCTAAAGTTAGCTGAATGAATATTGGACAAGAGGTAGTTTGATTTATACTGAAAGTTGAGGGGGAAAATTTGCACTTGAGGTCATCAAACTTGTAGAGTTTTTTATAAATTCGTCACTCAAGTTTGATTTATTTTAATTTAATCATCTAAATTAAATTTTCATTTCAATTTGACCATGACCAAGATTAAAAACCTGTCTCATGTGGCCGATAGAATGCTTAAACTAATATCTGTTTTGACACTAAATTTGCATTTAGTTTACCAAAACAAATTAAAATGTTCGGAAAATATGTACTAATGTTCTAAATTCACTTATTTAAATGTTTTATGCTAGCAAAAATTGTTGTCGAATACGTATCCAGTTAAACATTTTAGTATAAATGTATTTACTTTTGTTTTTTTTAATTTTCTCATTTGTAACATTTTATCAATCAATAGAATTGTGCATTGTATTTTCACCTTGTTTAAAGTATTTATCATTTGATGATGCCTGTAAGACTAATGGAGGAGTTACGTAAGAGTCAAAATCACTTCACTTTTTATATTGATTTCGTCATTGGGAGGTAACATATATGTAACAGCCTCGTAATCTATGAATAAGTTTAGATAAAATAAGGTTATTTGATAGACCCTATAAAGAAGCTCTCCAAAATAATCCAAAGGCTTCAACTGGCTTTCCACTTCTAGATCATTCATATTGAGTGATGTATTTCATTTCGTTATTGCGAAAAACATTTGTATCCTTAATTTTGGTCATGGTTACATATGACATCATCAAATTGAAACAAAAATGTAAGTCAAGTATTGAAAGGGAACAAACTAAAGTTGAATAACCAACACGAATGAAACCCACATTCCAGACGATTTCCAAAAAAATATGGATTAATCTACTTGTACATTACCGTATACATAAGCGTGTACATAATGTGAGTGTGGTGGAGTCCATGACACTGTAGCGTAGGCCCCACCTCCACTCACATTATGAACACCCTTATGTACTTGCTAATATACAAGTAGCATTTCTCAAAAAATATTCCCCAAGTTTAGGTTTTTCCCATGAATCTTGCTGCAATAACGTAATGGTTTGACATAATTCTGGACATAATGTCATGTTGTATTTTATTATTGAACTGTTTAAAATACAATAAACTTTTACATCCAATCATATATTGTCGACGCTTATTATGTCAAAGCATTTGTCAATATATTTTATATTTTGGTCAAAGTGGTATAATTTCTTTCCCATATGAGTTGGGACACGTACGAGATAGTTTTGACACGCATGAGAAAGACGATTGGTTCAAAAAGTGGGCCACGTGATAGTAGCCCTATGCTATCCAATAGGAAAGGAGTATGGATGGACCCAAAATTTGAACCAATAAGATTTCGAGTAGTGGCGAGTAATTAGTCAGAAACGGGGCACGTAGGTCGTCGTGCCTGGGCCTCGCCTACGACGGTGGATGTACTCTTTGAATGACACGTGTATTAAATTCTTTATTTTTTGGATAGTGATGAGCACCTTTTGGGCGATTACTAGTTTTTTATTGCCCCGTGTGTACGGATAATTGGGGAGACAAAATAAAGGGGGCTTGATTTTTCCATCACGCTACATGTACACTATGTCTTTCACACTTTCCTTTACCCTATTTAACATGATAAGATTTATAATTTTCAATTTATCAATCACATCACTGCACAAATTTTCTCTACATAGAGAAGGATGTCATTCTTGTTGTCAAAAATGATGTACATCTATCTTAATTCTTGATATTTACTAAATTTATCTGCTTATAAGTTGAAGAGTGGTGCTATGTGTACACACTTACATTTCCTCTTTTCTTGACGAGTGGTGCTATGTGTACACACAATTTTTTACACAATGTTTTACACCCCTTTCACATGGGGGGGGGGCCCACGATTATTTTATTATGTGTGGGCCCCCCTCCATGTGAGGAGGGTGTAAATCATTGTGTAAAAAATTGTGTACACATAACTTTATTCTAAGTTGAAGATGTTTGACTGGTTTTTTGGGTTTGTAAGTAAGAGTATGCTTGGCAAGTGTTTATAAGCATCAAATCACTTTTTACTCAAATATTTTTAGTATTTATAAGTATTGCTAGCATTTATCATTTACTTTTATCTTTTTTATAAACACAATTGTTTATAAATACTTGTCAAATCTAAGCTAAAATTGCAGAATCGTGATTTGATTCGGAATGGCGACAATGTCTACAGTTATGTTTGGCTCATGTTTATAAACTACTTATAAATACTCGTGTCAATTTATATTCACGCATTTTGGAGGATTCACAAATGTCACCTCTGTATCCATCGTTCATTTCTATCTATTAACAATTTAAATTGTTTATTCAATTCCCGGACCTACTTTAATGCTATGGTTGGTTTTTAACAAGCTAATTAGAACTTTAAACTCAAAAAGTGGGAGAAATGGTCACTGTACAAATTTAACTCATAAGTTAAATTTTAATTCTTTTTACGAATAGTCACTGTACTTTTAACTTCATTTCTAATTCATATCATTTGAAATGGTAACAACATTTCTTGTTCGCCACTTTATCGAAATCGTTATTCAGAAGGAAATGGAGTGATGAATAAAATATTACATAAAAAAATATAGTGATTATGAGAATATTTTTTTTTTGAACTTTAATAAAAATAAAGAAACAATATTACAAGTACTTGGAGTTGTTCCCTAAACACTATCCAACGTAGCTTAATCCAACCTAACCCTAATTCTAATGAAAGATTGCCAAGCGTAAAGTTTCGAGAGCTGTGACTGATTATTATAAACAAATGTGACATCCAACCACTTAAAAAAATATAGTTTTTAATGATTATAATTACTATTTAAGATTAAGTTACGTTTACCTACAACATATATTTGCTTTGTTTAAGGTGGTAACTTCCAAGTTAAGCATGGAATATAATTTTAAATTTCGCAAGTATGATGAAAAACGTTTTTTCTTTATTGTTTTACCTTTATAGGAAGAATAAATAGATTATCGAAAGCTCAAAATTATATTACAGTTCAAGAAGTTTAAACGCCATTTTTTTATGTCTAGAACTTCGACTAACAGTCAAATTTCATGTTCGACATTTTCAATCAACGCACCGTCTTGTCAAGACACGTAAGAATAAAATTTTATATCTTGCAAAAGTATATTAAGATAAATTTCTACGTTGTTTAAGAATCTATATAATGCAACGAAAAAAGCTATCAATTCCCTGCCCTTTTGGAGAAAGGGGCACCAAATTTAAGAACATCATTCTTGATCCTAAATCAAACCAAAAACACATGTGGTCCAATGAGTTACAAAAGAGTCTATTATAGTCTTGTCACTCATTGTCACTCTAAGAAATCTGCACCTCGAGTCGTTTGCTTCCACTTCAAGATGAAAGTCAACATCGATCAATTCTCTATCATAACAAAGTCTTGAAATTGGTTTTCAAGAACTTATTCAAAATTGGACTAAAATATACACTAACACTAAAATATTCAAAATTGGTTTTCAAGTCCTTCGCGTCTTAAATCTTCGTGTACATTTATAACATGTTTGACTTAGTTAGGGTCTGTTTGATTGCAATGGTGAAAAATAGGTGGAAAGAAAATAAATTCTAAAGAAAGTAACTGTTTAGAAATTGTTTTGCAGTGAATTGTTAATTAAGTGTGTTTGATTGGTATAATTTTTCACCCAATTTGTTTTTTTTTTGAAATTTTGGATTTTTTTGGTTCACATTTGACTTTATTATACATGGAAATTGTCCATTAAAATGATTTTTTTTTTTTTTTTAAATTGGTTATAAAATTTGTTCCAATTCCCACCAAATATGCGGGAAAATGAATCCCACTAAATCAAGTCATTGGTGCACATGCNGCCAAAAAGTTAAAAAAAAAAAAAAATTGCTTGAAAACTATTTTTTCATCAAAATTTAGTGGTCGTTTGGCTTCGTTTTATATGAAAATTGTCTATTAAAGTGAATTTTTTTTATAATTGGTTATGAAATTTGTTTACATTGACAAAAAATAATAATAAATTGCAGAATATGGTGGGAAAAGCCTTCTCCGGGTCTTCAAGAAATAAAGGCGCGTGGGGTGGGGGGGGGATTTTTCTTGGCCTAATTTGTTCAATTAAACACTTGTTTTGCATGAAAATGGAATTGTTTTTTCAAGTTCCATGAAAAACGAGCATTATCAAACAAGACATTAATATAATAAGTTAGAAAATAGACAAAGTTGAAGTTTTTATACTTTTTTGGACTACAAAAGAATCAAAGCAAACATGCTCCTAGAAAATGAGTAATTTTATGTTTACGTACAAAATATTTTATTGAATAAATGTGTGGTTGAAAATTAGTTGGGAAGTAAAGAGTTTTATTTTAATGAAAGTCAAATATGCTCTTAATATTTTTACAATCATGCTACGTGTACATGAATCATTTACATATTTTTTACACTTTGTCACGTAACAACACACCATTAAACAGTTTTAAAAAATTAAACAATTTTTCATCCAGTCCTTTTTTAACCCGACATTAAATGTCAACGATAATGTATACGTTTAGCATTTTTTATATATCCAGCATCGTTACCCCAAATGTTGCCACGTAATATCATTCTTTCAAAAGAGTTTGAAATAGCCAACGATAATGTGTACCTAAAGGGATTGATTTAGTTGTACGGGTGCATAAGCCAATGGTTCGAGAGCAAGTAGCTTTCAAATATTATTTCCTATTTCTGGATGTCTTTGACGCACAAAAAATTCAAATTTTGTTTGAAACGTGTCCAAAGGCACATTGGTTTGTGGAGAAACAAAATCTTAAATGGGTGGCCCCTATTGTCCATAGATACACTTTTTTAAGTTTGAAGGGCAGCAGCCATGTATACGAAGTGACTTGCTTGTCCTTTCCTTTCTCGCGAGGTGTAAAGTA